GTGAGCGGAGCGGGGATCCCTCAGAACCCGGTAAAGTATTAAACTGTACAGAAACCACAGAAACTGGTACAGCCCCATGGATCGTGAGGGGAGCGGGACCGCCGTGAGGGGAGCGGGGATCCACAGAACCCGGTAAAGCAGTAAACTATACAAAAACCACAGAAACTGGTACAGCCCCATGGATCGTGAGGGGAGCGGGGCCGCCGTGAGGGGAGCGGGGATCCCACAGAGCCCGGTACGGCATTAAACTGTACAAAAACCACAGAAACCACAGAAACTGGTACAGCCCCATGGATCGTGAGGGGAGCGGGGATCCACAGAACCCGGTAAAGTATTAAACTGTACAGAAACCACAGAAACCGGTACAGCCCCATGGATCGTGAGGAGAGCGGGGATCCCTCAGAACCCGGTAAAGCATCAAATTGTACAGAAACCACAGAAACCGGTACAGCCCCATGGATCGTGAGCGGAGCGGGGATCCCACAGAGCCCGGTACGGCATTAAACTGTACAAAAACCACAGAAACCGGTACAGCCCCACGGATCGTGAGGGGAGCGGGGATCCACAGAACCCGGTAAAGTATTAAACTGTACAGAAACTACAGAAACCGGTACAGCCCCATGGATCGTGAGGGGAGCGGGACCGCCGTGAGGGGAGCGGGGATCCACAGAAATTGGTACAGCATTAAACTGTACAGAAACCACAGAACCCGGTACAGCCCCATGGATCGTGAGGGGAGCGGGGATCCCTCAGAACCCGGAACGGCGTTAAACTCTACAGAAACCACAGAAACCACAGAAACCGGTACAGCCCCATGGATCGTGAGGGGAGCGGGACCGCCGTGAGGGGAGCGGGGATCCACAGAACCCGGTAAAGCAGTAAACTGTACAGAAACCACAGAAACCACAGAACCACAGAAACTGGTACAGCCCCATGGATCGTGAGCAGAGCGGGGGTCCCTCAGAAACCGGTACAGCACTAAACTGTACAGAAACCACAGAAACTAGTACAGCCCCACAGAACCCGGTACGGCACTAAACCAGCACCACAGAAACTGGTACAACCCCAGAGACCACGGTATGGCCCTAATCGGGAAAAACAGAGTCCCATAAAGCCCCACAGACCCCAGTGTGGCCCTAACGCAGCAAAACAGCCCAGTACAGACCCATAACCTGGCCTCACAGACCCCAGTATGGACCAACAGACTCCAGTTTGGCCCCTTAAGCCTGCTCGATAGCCCTCGGCCCACCCCATAGCCC